CGGCAGCAGCAGCAGCATCCTCCCTTCCTTTTCTTCCCTTCCGCTTCTTTCTCTTCCTTCAGCTTCTTCTTTTCCCTCTTTCTTCCCCTGCCCAGTCTTCCCCTCACTCCTTCTCCAGCGGGCATCAGCTCTGCAAGTCGTGAGCGGTGGCACCGCGACCGCGGGTGCACCCAGTGTCTGCGCCCAGGTAAGAGATCGGCGTCCACCGCCGGTTCTGGGGCGGGCGCCTGTCCGGCCCGGGTCTCTGCGCCCAGGGCGCCTCAGCTGGGGCAGAGGTGGAGTGGGGCGGTGGTCTCGTCCTCCCGGACTTGGGAGCAGGCGCGGCGGACTGAGCTGTTCTGTCGCCCCCCTGGTGAGGCCCTTGCGGCCCGGCCTCTCCAGGTGTCACTAAGGAGCTGGTACGTGGGTTCTAGATGTGTGTAGAAGAGCGAGTGGCCTTGTTAGGTACCACTTTGAGACGACTGGCAACTTAGGACAGGTTAGGACGTGGGTACCAAGAGCTAATAGTGCCCGAGCTGTAGAAAGGAGAGGGTCACACAGAGCGAATTACACAAAGATAATGACAAATCGGACAGCGAGGCGGAGGGTTTTATTTCTTTGGGTCCATCCAGCCTCAGAGAACTGCACACTGACGAGAGGGAGTGAAGGAAACTGGTCAATTTCGAATCATTTTCCCTTCAGAAACAACTGGGAAAAGACCGATACATCGTTATTATTTTAGGAAAATGAGAAATCGATGCCTGGTCGTGTTGGAGGGCGGGGCACGAAGAGGTTAGTTTGTTTGAGCCTGAGCGCCCACATACTCTCCTTTTTTCTATTTTAACTATGCAGATGGAAAGCTGCACCTACTGTCTATTTATTCTTTTCTTTTTCTTCTTAAAGGACGTTTCGAGGGCTGCAGGACTGGCTGCTTTCCTTCCCCAACCTCCTCTTTTGTTTGAGGATGGAAATTTCAAGAGAGTGTGTGAGGGGCCAGGAGTGGGATGGTGTATGTGTGTGTAGGAGGTGGGGGGAGTAGGGAGTAGGTCGTAAAGCAGTGGTGTCAGGAAAAAAAAAAAATCCTTCAGAACTGGAAATTGATGTCATTCTGCCTGGCAGTGGAGCCCCAGGATTTGGTCAGAAAACGAAAAGCTTCCATTAGCAACAAGCCTGATGGTGACAACTGTGTGCCATCTGCTATAAGCGCTCCACAAAATGCTTGAAGGACGTGGATCCTTTAAAATTGAGTAAATGGTTTTTGTTTAGAAACACACACCTCACATATATACACGTGTAATATACATGTCATATAATATACTGTCAGAAAAGAGTAGATACCTAAAAGAAAAAAAAAATCTTTTAAAATTTTTCTCTGAGGTTTTGGAGATTACATTGTAAATGAAATCTGTGGGTGCAAACAAAAACATACTGTTAATTGGTATATAATTTTTGTGGGTGAGGCAAAGGTGTTGATGCATGTTGGAGAGGAACTAACTTAAATGTCAAAGATATAATTTATTTAAAAATCATCGTTCTTGGAGAGAAAGCAACAGCAAACTGAAATTGAGGTGTGCAGCCACAGTGAGGCGATGGAGAACAAAGCCTTTTCTGTGAGCCACATTATGCAAAATGTCCCATGCAGGAGCTGCAGGTACCAGCCCGATTTAAAAGCATAGCTCTGTCACCCTGTCATTTCTCTGTGAGCAATTATGATTTTTTTTGGCAGTCGAAATAGATTGAATAAATAGAAGCCCTTTAGAACCTTTTTGATTTTGTGCCCAAGAGGAAGAGTACAGCCTTCTATCTGAATGTAGAGGCTGAAGAAAGAAACATCCTTTGAGTGGGCAATAGGTGTCTTTATTTTGGTAGAAATCCTTATGAATTTATAAACCATGGATATTTCAACTCTCCCCTAACACACACATACAAAGCATCCTCCCTTTAAGAAAAGGAAAAAGACATTCTTTTCTTTCAATAAAGAACATTGTGTGTGTGTGTGTGCATGCAATTTAATGATGATTTCCTAGTGACTTTATCTGATTACAAGGGTTTACATCTGCATTCACGATTTGCATATTATCAGAGTCATTGTCATTTTAGGCTACGCCAATAGGCGGTTTCTTTGTGGTTTCTTTCATTTTAATTTTTCAGATTTCACAGTGTGCTATAAAAATTACTTAATTTCCAAAGTATTTTTCCCCATAAATAGAAAATTTCTTAACATTCATCTGGAGATCTAAGCAATTTAGAGATATTGCTTCCTTTTGAAAATATGTTCATTAATTAATTTTTATTTTCTTTGTTTCTCTCCTCTCCTAAAGTTTTTTTTTTTTTTTTTCCCTTGTTCTTATCAAATCACCTGTTTCTTCTTGGCTATGCTTGTGCTGCCTAGGCTTCTATAGTTATGTCTAGACTACTAAAAGCAGAGCCAGCATCCTCAGCAATTTTGAATTTAGGATGTGTTCACTCTCTCAGGATGACTTGTTTACAGAACTTTCTCAGGGAGGAGAGGGAGAAAGAATGTGCTGAGAGAGCATGACCCAGTGAAACTGGCACAGCCATTACCTCACCATAGTAGGCACTTCAGATTCATTGAGAGAGCAGGCATCCTCTCAGTGGAAACCAAACACCAGGAGCACACCCAGCCCAGGGCAGACGCCTTTCTCTCCTCATGCAAGTCTCTGCTCATGTTGCTTTACTGAGGTTAAAGGGATATTTTCTCTTCCATGGATTTCTTCTCAGGGATCTTGAACTTAGTCAGAAATATGCAGCCAGAAATGAAACTTGGCACACAATCCTCTAAGCCTGAAGGAATAATTTCATTCCTTTACCCCTTTTGGTTTAAACCAATTTGTAAATTTTCTAAACATCAGGAGGAAGAAAAATGCTCGTTGGTGTATGTTTTATTTATTATGGCACACATATTTTATGTTGCATTTTATTAGCAATTAGATATCTGGACTGTTAAGGTTTTGACAATTACAGTTGCACTGTTGGCATTTAAAAATATATTTATTACTATGCTTGCTTAGACATACGCCTGATGAGGGTGCATCCCCAAAGGATCATTGATATCTCTGTGAGATCAACCATGTGAAACTGACTTGGGCATTTTAATACTCGAGGTGGTAACTCTGATGACCGAAATTTTTCAATATTTAATTACCTTTTGACAGATTAAGATAAAGAATCTGAAATAACAGTTACAGTGAGAGCACCACCACCAGATCAATCTTATATTCTCTAATGCTCAAAGTAGTTATTTAGGTAAGTCATTCCTGGCTGGCTCCCTGGCCTGGTGGTTGAGGTAGCCAGATCAAACATGGTTGACCCTGTTGGTGTGGGGGGTACACCAGATGCGTGTATGTGCATGTCCAAAATTCCCACAGTGTCGAGAAATGGTGGAGAATGGATTGTGGTGTGGGCGACCATGCGCCATTGTAGGGTGCTTTCTCCTTCTCCTCTGTCTCTCTCTGACAAGTGCGTGCGCCTTCTGGCAAACTTTAAACAATAAATAAAATATACCAGTTTTGAAACAACTTGGTGCTCTTTTGTCTTGGATACACATGATTTAAAGATAGTAATGAACTCCTTGAGTTATATCTGGTTCTCTCAGGTATACACTAGTTCTTTTAGCCATTTTATTTCTTTCTGTATCATTATTATTAGCATTGCCAGGATCTGCTCAGTTTAGGCTTTTCCATGTAATTATTTCCATTAAATTTTTGATATTTTCACTGATTTTTGCCCTTTCTTCCACACCATTCTTTTTTATTTCATATTTGAATAAAATCTACTGTTACCTAGGTATTTTGATTTCCGTACTTTTATTCTCATGATACACATTTGACCTTTACTTTTCATTTAAAAGAACATTTATTCTCACTTATTTATTTGTTACGAGAAACAATTATTGGTATTCTTTTGATACTTAATCCCAGGAATCAATTCCAGGTACCAGAAGCAGTTAAAGGAATACAGAACTAAGATGTACAGGATGGTCCAAAATCAATGAAGAGGGTCTGTGTGGAAATTCGGATGGGTGGGTGGGGGATAGCAGGCGATGTGCAATGAAAGCAAATTCTCAGATGTTAATCATTGTCTGTGTAGGATGGAGAAGAGGCTTTGTCTAGGTGGGTGGAGAGGGAAGAAATCAGTTTTGTTTTTCTACCTCCACGTAATATTTTGTCTTCATCCTTGCTTTGTCATTACTTTGAACTAAAGCCGCCGGTGCTTCCTCATACAAAATTATACAGGATGCTTATTGGAAACAGTTCTGTAGTGAATTAAAACATTTTAAGACAATGTGAACACAGCTGACTTTTTATGCAAAATACTTTAACCTTTGAACTTTGAACTTTGATCAGTCCTGTTCAAGAGTGGTAGAATGTCATTTTAGTGACCTGTGGAAATTTAGAGAAAATAAAGAGCTCAGGGTCTTCTTTCAGTCTGTTGTTAAATTTATCTTGTGGACATTGGGAAAGTTTTAAACAGTTTGTTTTCTATTAAAGCACAACCAGAGGGGGTAAATTCCTGTCTTTTTGCTTTTTTATTATGTTAATAAGTCTTTTTAAGAGCATATAATTTACTTTTTGAATCACAGGGCTTGACTTTTTCCTTCCCTTGGTATTCTATTTTCCTTCTTTCCTGTCTCCCTTTTCCCTTTCCTTCCTTTTTTTTTCTTTCCTTTCAATATGTATTAGCCAAAAATGAACAAACAATAAACTATCATTAGAAAATAGAAATATCCTGCTATTTCTATTGAATTTATCTTTCCTTTTCTTATAATAAGAACTTTTCTCATAATAAGAAATATTGCTGAAATGCAGTTCCCCAGAGGGAGACAGTGAGAGCCAGAGAGAGAAAAGGAGAGGAAGAGAGAAAGTGAGAAAGTACCCCTTCAAGGAGGATGGCCATATAGCAATCCCTTCTCCATTTTCCTCTCAGAATTTTGGCATGCACACACATGTGCCTGGTGTGTTTTTCAAGCTGCAGGGTCCAGCCCTTTAACCGTGAAGTTGGCCATCTGAGGTCTAGTTGCTTTTAACCACTACACTACACCACTGACTGGTCAGATCTTCATTTAAATAGCAGAAGTCAGGGCTGATAGAACTTAAAACACTACACTATGTGGTCCTATTATAAGAATTTGGAATAGCGGCTTTATGCTAACTTCATAAAGCTCCGTCTTTATTTTGGTCCTATTTT